TTTTTTTTTTGTAGCTCCCCATTGACCTGCAGCAGCGCTGGTCTGGGTTGCCTTGAGTATGTGGGAATGGAACCACTGCTCAAAGAAACTGACTGCCTCCTTTAATCAGGCACTTAAACTATTTACGATTTTTTAAAACTGAGAAATGGGTGCTTGTCATGGGTAGGCCATTGAGGATGGGCCAAAAAAAAAAAAAACTGCTTACAGCAAAATTTGATAATTGTACATAATGGATATATATTTTGGTTTAGCTTATCGTTGTTTGAGGGGGAAAACTGGATGACACACTTGTGATAACAATAATTAACAAAAACTCCACAGCACAATGATTGGGGGAAGTGTACTTAGGATTGTGTTCAGAGTCTTCACCCTGAGCTACCTCTCCAGACATTTAATTTTTTTTTTTTTTTTTGAATCAGGGATGGTGATGTGGGCATATAATTCTAGCACTTGGGAGGCTGAGGCAGGAGTATTGCTGAAAGTTTGAGACCAGTCTGAACTACATAGTGAAGCCCTGTCTAAATAAATAAATAAATAAATAAATAAATAAATAAATAAATAAATTTGAGACCAGGTTTTCCTAAATTGTCCAGGCTGGCTGAAGCTGTAATCCTCCTACCTCAGCCTTCTAGAATGCTGGGGTTACAGTTGTGCATCACCATACTTGGCAATAAGAAATTTTAGATGTCTATTACACAAGAAATAAATTTCAAAGTAACTAAACCAAAATTACCAACAGCAATGAAAGGTAGAAGTGATTCACTGACTTAACTCGCCCTATAGATAATTACATACTGCTCAGACCTTCTCTAACATGTCCTATTTCCCAAGGCCATTTGGGGGGTCTTGTCTCCAAAAAAAAAATGGCATGAAACAACTAACAGTCGTGTAAACTGTTTGCCTGCGCTATTAGCATAGACAAACAAATCTCCCAACACAGAATTTTTATCTTAGGGTCTCACATGAGAGACTTTGCCAGCACTCTAAATTTCTGTTCACTGCTTTTTCAACTCCACCCATCTCCCACCCTTTCCAGCACAAGTCCTCTCCTGTCACCCCTCACACTGCAGTACCGTCTCAGTGTGCCTGCCTCAAATTGTCTTATCTTGCTCCAACAAAGCAGTCAGGCTCAGGTTGCTGTGGTTGATCCCCACAACGCAAGCCAGCCAAACCTTCCCTGAAGGCATTCCGAGCCAAAAAAAAAAAAAAAATCCTTCAAATTGTCTTATCTTGTTTTCTCCTACAGGAAACTTTTCCAAGGCCTTGCGAATTTTCTTTGTGTCCATCCTTCAGCTTCATGGGCCTTGTCATGTACTTCCCTGAGGGCAAGGAAAACCAGGAAGTAGTTTTTAAAGTTTATTTAGATCCACAATAACATTTCACATTAACAAAAAATCCATACACGAAAGCTAAAGAAAATACAAAATGAGTAACAAAGCAATGTTAAGTAATGATTCATTTGTAAAAATGGGAGAATTTTTTTTAAAAGTTAAATATCAAAGTGTAAGTGTCGAGTCGCCACGAAGGAAGACCCCAGGAGTCGGTCTCTCATGCAAATCGCAAAGGGAAAGTTTTATTATCTATGTATATGTAGGGCGGCCTGCACACGCAGGAGCAGAGCGCACCTTCCATGTAACAGGCATAGTTTTTTAAAGGCAAAAAACACAAAATGGGGGGGTGGGGCGAGCAAGCAAGTTACAGAAGCAAATCGCATTGGTTAGTGTAGGTTGCCCTTTACAATAATTGGTGAGTTACAATACCGGGTGACCAAATGGAGTAAGTCTGGGCGTAGCTGGGAGGTCTAACCTTGTGGCTGTCATGTTCCGGGAACATTTTTAAGAAATCGAGGCATTGTGACCTGGGACATCCTGTTGTTATGGCTTTCAATAGTGAGGCCTTCGGTTTTGGGAATGTATGTCTCTTGCAAGAATTCAAACAAGGGGAGGGACAAGGGCAACTCCTTGGCTGACTCAGTTGTTTTAGTTGTTTTCCAAGTAACAGGACCCCATCCAAGGTTTTCTTATGTCCTCTTTACTTTAGGAACATGGATTGCTCAAGCTCTAGAGCCGTAAACCAGTGAGTGCGTCCTTTTAATTGAAACACATTTTATCTATTTATTTCTGTATGTGATCTTAAAATTATTTGGGCTTTACAAAAGACCTTAGTATCTTCCTTTAGGAGGAAGATACCCTTTATCCCAGAACCCCTGAAGCTATATAGGACAGAATCATAGAAGACAGTCTAGAAGGTCCATAAACCCAGGCCTTTAGTCGCCTTGTTTGTCTTTGGTCTTTTTTTCCCCCCAGGCCTTTAGCAACAGCAGACTTATCAAAAAAGATCATTGTTATGGTTTGTGTCTAGTTGTCCCCTCAAAGCCTCATGAAGTCATGGAGTGGACTGCTACAGTTTTTGATTAACTCATGATGCACTGGGATTATGGGTGTGAGTGCTGCTGGGATTATGGGTGTGATACTACTCCCAGCCTAGGGCAGACAGCTGGAATGCTGCTTAAGGGAGACAGGCTTGCTCTCTGTAGCTATTATTGCTACTACTCTTCCCATTCGCTTTTGCTGTCTTGCTGTTTTCCACCACCATGAATTGCTGCCCTCTGCTATGTGCCACTCTGCCTTGGAGCCAGCCGAGCGTGAACTGAAACCTACAGTAACTGTGAGCCAAATAAACCTTTCCTTCCTTAATTTTGAGTGTCAGGTATTTGTCCCAGCAATGAGAGAAGAGTGAGACAGTCATTTGATTGACCTCCTCAATGATGGGGCCAGTACTGGGCCTTTCCTGGTGGGCCTAAGCCCTAGAACTGCTGCCTTCAGGAACACTAGATGGCCCATACAGCCCAGAAAAGATGGGGCAGCAGATTTGCTGCAGTTCCCTCTTCGGATGCTCATCTTCCTCCTTCTCTGCCAGTTGGTTGTGCTCCAGCCAGGCAAGGACTTGACATTTGCCTTGCACTTTGCACCTGTCCTCTTCAGGAATCTTATCCCTATTTCCTCTCACAAAGAGCCCTTCACATGGAAGATGTGAGCTTCCAGGGGGGTTTTGGCAGCCCCCGTGTCCCTCTGGGCCTCAGCCTGGTACAGCTGACCTTCACGAGCCACTCTCTCCACTTCCTCTGCTCAGCCGGCCCTTGTCACTGGTGATGGTGATCTTGCTAGCCTTGCCCGTGTTCTCATCAGTGGCTGTCACACTCAGGATGCCACTGGCATCAGTGTCAAAGGTCACCTCGATCGGAGGGATTCCACGTGGGGCAGGAAGGATGCCACTGAGCTCAACACGCCCCAGCAGGTTGTTGTCCTTGGTCATGGCCCTCTCACCTTCATCTGCCTGGATCAAGACCAGGAGCTGGTTGTCAGAGTAGGTGGTGAGAGTCTGGTCCCCTTGGTTGGAATGGTGGCATTCCTCTGGACTGGTGTGGTCTCACTCCGTCTGCTGTTTCCAGCTCCAGGGACAGGGCAGCCTCATCCAGCAGCAGGAGATCCCGCACTCTCTCACATGTGTCCCCCAGCAACGCTGCCGCCTGCACAGCAGCTCCACAGGCGACAGCCTCATCAGGATCGATGCTCTTGTTCAGCTCTTTGCAGTGAAGAAATCCTGCAGTAGCCGCTGCACCTTAGGGATGCTGTGGAACCACCCACTAGAATGGTATCATGGATTTGGGCCTTGCCAGCTTGGCATCCGCAGGTTCTTCTCCACAGGCTGCAGGGTGCTGCGGAAGAGGTCTGTGCAGTTCCTCAAAGCGGGCACAAGAGATGGATATGCAAGAGGCCATGCGTCCGAAAAGGATGTCAGTCTCCAGAGTGGCCTGGGTGCTCCTAGGCCGTGCGCTGCCGCCCCCGCGCACCGCCTGGCAGGGCCAGTGCTTCGTGCCCGACTGCGGCTTCGGATGCTGTGTTGTGTGGGCTCAGGGCCCCTCGGCTCTCGGCAGCGTCGCCCACCAGCCGTTCAGCGCCGGCGAAGGCCACGCGGCTGGGTGGTGCAGTTGCCCCGGTGGTCGGCCAGGATCTCCGCTCGCCGGCTGGAACACGGCCACGCACGAGAACGTGGTGCCCAGATCGGCGCCGATGGCCCCGTCCCTTGGGGCTGACGTGGTTGTGGCTTCCCGTGCTCAGAGGAAGCCTTCGGACGCAAAGACTCTGGAGGTCTGCGCAGCTCAGGCATAAAATCTTTCAGCAGGGCGGACCGCCTCGTGGACTATGCCTGCGGCCCGCCCAGGGTCTGGGGTGCAACGCTGCCCCCCACCGTTAATGACGCTGCGCAGCCCCGCCCGGTCGGCCTCGACTCCGAGCTGCCGAAAAGAAACGCCGAGAAAGCTCCGATTTCTCTCGCTGGTTCTCGCAGCGCTGGCATGTGGCTGCGTACACAAGCTCTCCGCCGCGGCTCGGGAAAGCCAGACAGACGTTACCGCGCGAGCAGAACCGCCGCCTCAACAGCAGTTCACATAGTCGCTTTAGGAGTTTTTAAAAGTTTATTTTGAAAAAACAAAACTGCTCTTTTTAAAATGTGAAAGCAATATTTTCAAACGGATCCAAAACAGTTTTTTTCTGTAGGGTGCAGGGGGAGATTGAAGTGAAAGAGTAGGTCTGAAGCCATCCACGTATTCGCAGCATTGGTGGTTCAGTGGTAGAATTCTCGCCTGCCACGCGGGAGGCCCGGGTTCGATTCCCGGCCAATGCACTGTGAGTTTGTTTTTCTAAGGCAATAATGCTTTTTTTTTTTATTCTAAAATATGTAACGCTTCAATAAAAGAAACAAATCGGTCAAAGGATTTGGATTCTTTTCATATGGTTCCTGAGACAAGCCCCGACATAGCTCTAGGGTGAAAAATTCGATATCGGGGGTTAACGCAGCGAACTGGCAGAGGAGGTAACAGTGTCTCGGAAGGTGGCTCCGGCAGCTCTGTCCGGAGTCTGTGCAGTTTCTCTGTGGCTGAGGAGTTTCCAATTCAGACTCAAGATTCAAGTGGAAAGTAAATTCCTATACCGTCAAGGAAGAGATTGGATCTTCAGGCCACACTAATTTCCACCAGGACCGTGGCCTTGCGAATTGAGTGTTTGCGTGTCCCACATCGTTTAATCCAAAATTTTCCACTTGGATTTTTATGGTGTTCGAGCTCAAGTCAATAGACGCGTTCAATACAAAAATGCGGAAATGCTCCGGAAGGTTAAAAAAAAAAAAAAAAAATCTAACCTCCCCGTCGGGGAATCGAACCCCGGTCTCCCGCGTGACAGGCGGGGATACTCACCACTATACTAACGAGGACGGTGGCTTGACTGCGTAGCACCTTTAACCCTTGTGACATTTTCGCACACTTAGCATGTTAAAAGCCTATTGTTATTTGTCTGATTCTAAGGAAACTGCTATTAAAAAGAAAAAATACTAAAATGCTGTACTCCTGTGTAGTTGTCTTCTCTAACAGATTAGAACTCAGTGGGATCTGTAAGCCTCTGAACAGGGACAGAGGGTCAGGCTGTGAGGTCAGTTCTCTCCCAGTGTTGCCACAACCAGCTGGCAGTCGGCTGCACAGAAAGTAGCAGTACTGGAAAGGCGATCGGTCCAGGAAAGAAAGGCGATGTTTGAAGTCTCCAGTGAATTCCACAATGGAAAAATCAGACTAGCCTTGAAGAAAAGGAACCTGTTCCTGAGTTCTGGAAGAGAGAGAAGTCAGGCATAGGAGCCAGAATCCAGAGGGCCTTCAGGAGGGACTTTACCGCAGAGAGAAGACTTGCCTGGCCTGGGGGTCCGTGTCCCGGTGTGTTCAGGGGCTGCCTTGTTGAGACGCCTCCAAAACTCTGCCCGCCTCAGCAACCCTAAAATTACGCCAGCATCCTGGGATGTCACTTAGCCATAGAGCAGTCGTGTACATGTGCACAGCCCGGGGCGTGGTCCAGAGCACGGGACAAATATACACACATTCTACCTGTTCCGTCTAAAAAGCTGGGGTTAGAGCCCTGAGGCAGGCTTTGAGTGTTCGGAACCTCACAGTTGGTAGATTTTTGACTGTGTTGCAGCAGACAAACAGGCAGAAGGAAACAGGGAAAGGGGCTTTATTATAAAGGGAAAGGGGCTTCAATATCTTGGAAGACACGGAGAGTATTTGGGAAGATAAGGAATTCTCTGGATTGGAACAAAGGGAGGCACAGCCTTTTATGACCTTTTGCCAGGGGTGGGCTTTGAGGGGGATGTTTAGATACACCTGAGGAGCTGATTGAGGCCTTCCCTGAGGTAACAGGAAAGATGAAAGGAAATTGCACCCTGGGCTGGGTTGGAGAAGAAGTGGGGAAATGGTCTCTGGGAGGATGAACTGTTGTTTTACAGGCTTCAGCCCTATTAGATGACCACCATAATTATTCAGCAATTCATATTAGGGCCAAAACCTATCAACAGTCCTATTTTTAATGTGTTTGTGTTCCCATACTAGGGATGGAACTCCAGGCACTGGCCTAGGGAAGTTGCTTCATTGCTCAGGCTGGGCTCTGATTTGTGCGCCTCGTTTTACTCCCAAAGGGCTGAGATTACAGGTAGGACACACCAGGCCTAGATTCTTCTTTCTGTTCTTTCTTTCTTTCTTTCTTTCTTTCTTTCTTTCTTTCTTTCTTTCTCTATTTATTTATTTATTTATTTATTTGCTGATCTCTTCACAGAGGTTGAGCTATAGAGGAGTTTATGCATGCAGTACAAATTTTCTGCATACTCTTAAACATATCCATTTGTGTTTAGTAGTTAGTTTGCTTATCTTTTTATGAAATACACATTAAAGAGATGTCTTACATATTGTGAATTGAAGGTGTGCTTGTCACCCAATACTGGCCACAGAATAAAAGCGAACTGTATAATTAGATTTATAGAATGTTCCCAACTACATACAAAGATCTGTCATACAAACTTCCTGTATTTTTAAAATTTTATTAATTGTCTCAGCACATATTTATTATATGTATCAATGACATTCATCATATGAAATTTGTACCTGTACATAGCATATGTTACCTGTATGTTCTTAACCAAGTTATTTCATTCATTTGAGCCACAGCTTCTTTGGTTTTAAAATGAGGAGAGTAGACAGTCTTGCTTTTAGGTTCACAAGGTCTCTGATTTCAAACTTGAATAAACTATTCATTCCACAAACAATTATTTACTGAGTACTATATCATGTGATACTAAACTAGTCATGGAGTATATAACAAATAGAGGCCTCTCCTGAAGCGCATATTCAAACGGGAGAGGGTCACACAAGTAAACATGTAGAACATCAGTTGGGGATAATGTAAAAGGATATCAGGTGGAGAAAACTAGAAGCATGACAAGGAGAATTATACTGAATGACCACGGAGAGCCCACCGACAAGGACGTATCTGAGCAAGGACCTGGATGGTGTAGTCCTGGTCTGATTTCTGTTGCTATAACAAAATATCCAAGAGAAGGTGATTTGTAGACAAAAGAGGTTTCTTTACCCACAGTTCTGGAGGCTGCTCCAAGGCCAGGTGGCCACATCTGCTTGGCTTCTGCGGAAAGCCTCCTGTGCTCCAAATGCAACAAAAAAGTACAACAGCACAGGGGCACTGGGAAGAAAGGAAAGCGCCAAAGTGCCATCGTGGTCAACCTGTTCCCTCAGGAAAAGCATTGATCCACAGGCGAGCTAAGCCCCCAACATTCAACCACCTCCTCCTCAGCCCGGCATCCCACCATGCTGCCCTGAGGACCAAGCTTTAAAATGAGCTCAAACTCTAGCAGACGTGATGAAGCACGACACAGACACCTGTAAGAAATAGCACGCCTGATGTGGGAAACAGCACAAGCCGTGCTGCAGTACTGCCCATGTGTCTAAAAGAGGACAAGAATGACCAAGAGGAAGCATGACAGAGCAGAAGGAAACGCGATCACAGATACAGGGGGCCAAGACCACACAGCATCCTGCAGCCCCTACACGGACTTGAGCTTTTGCTCTAAGTGTGAGGAAGCTATTTAATGGCTTGAGCAAAGAAGTGATCAGAAAAGGTGATTCCTTAGCTAAAAGTGCTTTCAACAAGAGGCTACCAGAGAAAGGAAAGTGTGGCCACTGACATTATGCCACAGGACGAGGAGTCCTTAGTCTCCAATGTCCTTGCACCATCTGACTTCATTCCTGCAGTCTGTCATTGATCTTCGAAGGTCTCGCTGCACAAAAAAATACAGCCCTGTGTCCACTGCAAACATGAGTCCCATCACCAGACTGAAAATGACTTGGTACCAAGGAGGAGAGTTGGATGAAATTGGCGGACCTAACAGAAAAAGACAAAGGAATAAAGAAAAGGGTGGTCATTAAAGCAGAAATGTGTAATAAACAATGAGGTCCCCAGTAGAGAGCCTTTGTGACTTCATCCATGCCAGGGGCTTAAGATAAAGTCAAGAGCAGGTGGGTGGGTCAGTACATCTTCAAAGGATCTGTTTGTCTCTCTGAATTTCCCCCAAAAAAACTAAGTCAGCCTTTCTTAGAGGGTGACTGTGGTGTATCTCTCTGAAGTCAAGACAAAGATATGTGGTTGGGGCCAGGGAGATGGCTCAGTAGAACAAGCGCTTCCCTGGTAAGAGCAAGGATTTGAGTTCAATCCCCAGATTCACCAAAAAAACAAACAAACAAACAAACAACAACAACAACAAAAAACCCAGACAAAAAAAGATACACCTTGGCTTAGCAATTGGCATATGAAGCACAGTTTAAAAGTTTGCTGCTGGGCATGCTGGTGCAGGCCTGTAATCCCAAGGCTCTCTTCAGCTCACTGAAGTGCTAGCCCTACCTGGCACCTTAGTGACCAACTGACAGCTTGACTCAAAATTTCAAAAGGGAGCAGGAGAGAAATGTTATCTCAATGCAGAGATCCCAGGTTCATTCCGCAGAACCCCACAAAGACTTTCTTTACAATAGACTTCTTAGGGCCTTGGGTGTACACCGTGGGTATAAAAGGAAGGAACTGAATAGGCGGTGTGTTCCACATCAGCTTGACTGCAGAAGTCTGCCTTCCAGAAAGCCCCTAAGGTGGCATATGACTCAGGAACTACAGAATCCAGAGACTGCATCAATGGGCCTCCGCTCGCTGCCTCCTCTCGGTCCAGACAGCAGTCTGTCACGAGTAGCTTGTGATGCCTCCTGAAAAGGCATCATAAACATTGCTTAATGCAACATTTCTGAAAAATAGACACAGCCCTGGCTCCTCGTGGGTTCAGAGGGCCTTCCCAAGCTCCCTCAGCTGCTCTGAGCTGCAGTTTGAGCTGAGGCCAAGAGGTCGTTAGGCAGGCACAAGCCTCAGAACCCTACAGGTAGAGGGACATGAAACAACAGTGATTGAAATAAGTGGGAAAAGAGGGAGGGTGATTGCGTCTGGCAGATGTACTTGTGGAAAAGAAAAGATGCCTCTGTTAGAACTGAGTGGGTGGCAGCCATTCCCATAATCCCTGAGGAACACATTGGATTAGAGTAGCATACCACACAGCAGCTGGGTCAGTTAGAACTTTGAGGGTTCTGTGGACCTCGGGATGACCACTCAGGAGAATGCCAAGTACCAAAGCCTAAAAAGGATCAGCAACCCCTTGTCCACCCAACCTTCCAAGGCCTGAGGCTGCTTCGGTAGCCCTGGTCCCTACCATGGACAATGATGGTCACCGGCTGTGATGAGTGGGTCATTCTTCCTATGAGTCCTGTGCAGTGGTATTTACCACTGTTACTGTGGTTTGCCTGTGGGATGGAGAAATTTTTGCTGACAGGGAAGAATTTCTTGGCTATTCCATTGTGGTAGAATGTGACCTTTGCCAAAGGCTTGTTATTCCAACTGTGACACCGCAACACAATGGCATCCCCTTCCTGGAAAACCAGCTGCAGGGTCTGGAGCACCAGCCAATCTGAAATACACACAGGGAAAAAAAAGTCTAAGGGTGAGATTCCAAGGCCTTTGCAGGAGCTCAGGCATATGTGATTCATAGAAGTTAAAAGAATACAGGGCAGGTGTTTTGTGGCAGATTTGAACTTTTTTTTTTGGTACTGGAAATTGAACTCATGACCTCATGCTTCGTAGGCAGGCACTGTGCCACTGAGCTATACCCCCACCTTTGAACATTCTCTTTTTTTTTTTTGCGAAATCGGAGATTGAACTCAGTCCCTTGCACTTGCCTGAGAAGCGCTTATTCCACTGAGCCATCTCCACAGCCCTTCAACGTTCTTTCACAGGGAAAAATGTGATATTATGCCTATGGGGCCTCTGGATGATAGGACTTTCCAGAAGTTCCAAAGATAAAGATCTGGGGCTGGGAAGATGGCTCAGTAGAATAAGCGCTTCCTTGGCAAGCACAAGGGTCTGAGGTCAATCCCTGGTTTCACAAAAAAAAAAAAAAAAAAAAAAAAAAAAAAAGATAAAGAACAGATATTTTGAAACACTTTAGAAGAATGTAAAACACTATAACTGCCTAGGGAAATTAGTGCATCTCAGTAACCGTAGAAGATGTTGAGTAGGATCTGAAGCCTTTCATGTCTTATGGATACAGCATTTGTTGTCCAGGGATTATTAATTTAATAGTGACTACTGAAAAACTTTGGGAAGGAGGTGGCCACCATGGCACTAGCAGCAGTGAAAGTGAAAGCCATTTTACCTTAGTCCACTCAGGCTGCTAGAACAAAGCAGCACACATGGGGCTCATAAACAACCAGTAAAAAATGTATTTATCACGGTGCTGGAGAGTGGAAAGTTTGAGACCAAGGGGCCAGCAGTTCCTGCATCTGGTAAGGGCTCTCTTCTGGGTTTGTAGAATTGCAACATGGGCCACGTGGCAGAAGTGACAGAAGACGTCCGCAAGCTCCTGTGGGTCTCCTTTTGTGAGGAGGGCAGGGGCTCTTCATAAGGAAGCTACTCCCAGCATGACTCCGTGCTCATCAAACATGTAAACCCCTTCCCCAAAGGCCCTGCCTGCTCTGCTTTCACCTTGGGGCTTAGGCGCACAAATGAATCTCACGGAATATAAACATCTGAGCCCAGGACTTTGGTGTATTTACCTGCCATTTGGGAGGCCCTGGGTTTGATCCTTAAACATAAAAAAAAAAAAAAAAAAAGTGCAAGATTCTTTTCTATTCACTTAAGAAATTAAGAAATGAAAGCATATCACTACCTGAACTCAATGTTCAGTTGTGACTTGGACACAAGCAGCACTAAAGGAAGTTTTAAAGTTGTTGTAGACAGCTGAATTAGATAGAAATATTATAGGCAGTCAGACGGGGCCAGGCCCTCAAGGAGGCCAGATGGAAGACAAGGTGATTTTGCAACTGTGGACAGACACTCCCTGCTGGGGGCCAGACCTCAACACAGTAGTAAACAAATGCATTCACATACTTCCCTGGTGATGGGCATCAGGGACTGATATGCTGAATAAGTATCAATCACCTTGAAAGAGCCTCAAAGAGTCAATAGCCCAAACCCAATAGGAGACCTTCTTCTGCATTCGTGCCTACTTGCTACGCAACTTGCTTTCCCATTTGAACCTGATTTTAATCAGCATTACCTGAGCAATGGTGCTTGTAATGTCATTGGTTACTCATAGTTTTGTCCCACTTCATGCCCACCTCAGCGAGTTCCCATGTCTCCACCACCTTCGACCCGCTGCACTGAATGGTTTTCCACTATAAAAGTCCCTGGAAGAGACATCTTGCCGGGAACCACCACTCAGGGGCCCCCCCTTCTGTCCCTCTATTAGGCAAGAGCTTTCTTTTCCCCTTAATAAATATATTCTGCTCATAGCCTCCATTTGTTCCTAAAATTCATTCTTCGGTTTTAGAGAACATGAACTCGTCCAGGTACTTGTTAGGGTGGGAGATCAGTTTTCTCCCTGTATCATTTGGAGGTCATCCACCCGAGATCAGTTTTTCTCCATGTCAAAGTCACTTTTCCCTCCTTGCCGACACTCCCAGCCACCCTCTGTCTTCATTGATTGCAGAATAATCAGGTTCCAAAATTCAGCTATTGTGGAGGATACGTCCTAAAGAATATACTAATAAATTTATTAAAGAAGAAACTCAAATTGCTCTGTTACAGAAATAAGTATCTCAGTTTACTCTTAAAATGAAAATTCACTTATGAGACTAATATTTTGGATATGAGAGACAAGATAATGTTATTGAGACAGAAGGAAACAAAAGCCCAAATTCAGGATCCTTATTTTGGCAATCATTAGCTGTTGGGTTTCCTTGGCTTAAATTCCTTCAACAGAATTATGAGGTTAGGTGATATCTCTCTGGCGACTTTCTTTTCTTTTCTTTTGAGAAAGGGTCTCACTATGCAGTCCACACTGTCCTTGACCTCACTTGTGTAGCCCTGGCTGGCCTTGGACTCACATTAATCCTCTTACTTCAGCCTCCTAAGTGCTGAGATTATAGGTGTGGGCCACCACACCTGACTTTCCCAACTCACTGGACTTAAATTTTTGTTATTAGTGATTTTACATTTTAATAGTAGAAAGTATCATACCTTTCTAGAGATGGACAGGTACAAAGAGGAGATATAAATGGCTGAGATGTCACTATGGTGGGAGCCACAGAAAGCTAGGAAATTGATCAAATGTGTGTAGGTGAGACTGGGCCTCAGTGCCTAAAGCAAACAAGCTACCTCACTCCTGAGATAAATATCCTGTCTGATTAAGGTCAGCTATTAGTCACTAGGCAACCTCGTGTCATGTGTTACAAACTTTGCAGAAGTATAAATAAAAGATCATTTGGTTGTATGTGCTTTAGTCTTGCCAATCAGGCCAACCAGCCACCACCTAGCCCAGCTTTTGTCTTCTAGTCTATCTTTCTCATTCCTGCAGCCACATCTTCTGTGTAGAACCAATTATGGTTTCCAATGATCCCTACATCACTTGGGCAGGTTTTTTAGCTTAACCTAGTACTTATTTATTTCGCAATGCTGGGTATCAAATCCAGGGCCTTGTGCATTCTACCTGATCTACCACTGAACATTCAATAGAGTACAATCGACATCATAAAGTGACTCTACCAGAAGAATCTCTCTGGTACAGCAGACTTTAAAGAGTCATTAAAAAAAAAAAAATAGCCCTCTTTATATTAAACAGAAAAGTCTAAGGCATTGGATGTTTCCTTGTGGCACCTGCAGGATTTGTGCACTGAGATACAGATGAAATGAACTACTCATATTTTCAGATGTTGGAGTTGGGTAGAGATAGCATAGAAGAAGGCTGGGAGATGGCTCAGTAGAACACATACTTCCCTGGCAAGCTCAAGGGCCTGAGGTCAAACCCCGGTTCTGAAAAAGAAAGAAAGAAAGAAAGAAAGAAAGAAAGAAAGAAAGAAAGAAAGAAAGAAAGAAAGAGCATAGGAGTAGTTTCCTCACAGAATCCATTAAGGTGAACACTACTTCATATTCACATAAAACTAAACCAGATTATGTGATCACCTTCATTACAGCCATCTCATGATTTGAAGGATGGAATCGTACTGCTCAGCCTTGGAAAGAACACATCCTGTCCTTCACAACAACATGCATAGAACTGGAGGTCATTGTGTTAAGTGAAATGAGACAACCACCTGGGGGGAAAGGCCAGTATTACATACTCCCAAACATACATACTAGGCTTTTTAAAAAGTTCATTTCAGGGGCCGGGGAGATGGCTCAGTAGAATAAGCAGTTGCCTGACAAGTACAAGGGCCTGAGTTCAATCCCTGGTTCCACCAAAAATAAATAAATAAAAATAAAAAGTTCATTTCAGCAGACATAATAGTATACACTAGTAATCTCAGAAATGGGGAGGCTGAGACAGGAGGATCCCCTCAAGTTTAAGGCCAGCCTGGGCTAACAGTGAGACCCTATCTCAAATAAAACCTAAAGAAATAAACAAAAATAAAGGTTGATTTCATAGAAATTGAGAGCGGAATGGTGCTTACCAAACGCGTGGGCGGGGCTGGGGTGGGGGAATGGGAAGAAGTTGGTCAGTGGGCAGGGAATTACAGTTACCTAGGAGCAAGAGGGCGCTGAGCTGCACTTAGCCATGAGCCAGAGCTTCTTTTCTTTCTTTTTTTTTTTTTTTTAATATTTATTTATTAC